ATGAAAAAACCACTAAAATACCCACAAAGAAAGAACATCCTCCCTGATTTCTTATTCCGTCCAGGGCAAATTACAGCTGGAAATTCTGAGCAACTCTAAAATGAGAAGCAGTGAATATTTGTTTCTCTACTTTTCCACAAAAGTGTTGCTGGCGGAACCAATGTTTTCATCTCAAGAAATCATCTCATCCAGGACCCTGCTTCAAAACCCAGAGTGCAGTGAAGGTCAGGGAGGCAGGAGTGGCCAGCAGTGTAGCTCGAAGAGCCCAGCGTTAGAGCAGGTCCTTTCTGATATTATAGGGCAAATTACAGCTGGAAATTCTGAGCAACTCTAAAATGAGAAGCAGTGAATATTTGTTTCTCTACTTTTCCACAAAAGTGTTGCTGGAGGAACCAATGTTTTCATCTCAAGAAATCATCTCATCCAGGACCCTGCTTCAAAACCCAGAGTGCAGTGAAGGTCAGGGAGACAGGAGTGGCCAGCAGTGTAGCTCGAAGAGCCCAGCGTTAGAGCAGGTCCTTTCTGATATTAATGTTGTATACAATATGGAGTGGAGGCTTATAGTTGTGCTATTTATGATTTTTCTGAGTGAAAAATCTTAATTAACTCTATTGCTGAAGACACGAAGGGGCTTTGCCAAACACAGGCTGGCCCAGCCTTGTTGGTGCCCGCCCTTGACTTAAAATTCAGGCCAGCAGCAGCCCCTCTCCTCATGATGGGCTCTGAGCAGTCTCAGGGAGGAAGCCCAGCATAGCATCTAGAGTGGCACCTGATGGCCATGGTCAACCTAGAGTTTCCCAAATACCTGGAGATTCAAAATTTACACACGCATAGTCAAGGCTCTGAGATTAACCAGTTTGACTCTAACTCCAAATTTCCTTAACTTGTCTATACAAGGTGTCTTTTCTTTACTGTCACCCCAATCAGCAAATTGCTTAACAGTCAAGAGAGGGAGTTGTTTGGGAAATGCTGATCTAAACTCATTATAGACGCTAGAGAGCAACTTCTCTGTTTCTAACACTGCAGTGAATGAATGAAATATGCCTGAAATCGCGCTAAGCGTGCCCCTCAGCTGAAGCTATCAATTTTACTTCCAGGAGGTAAAATCACCCCACTCAAGGCCCCCAGGAGCTCGACATTTGCCAGAAGCGATGAAACACACAAGCTGAGAAAAGAGCTCTGCTTTCGTACCTGTGGCTCCCGATCATGGCCGCTGGGGTCCCTCTCGTAGCTCTCTGCATACAGTCTGATGGTGGCCCGCACGCCGCTAGAGGAGCTGAGCCGGAAGATGAGCCGGGCTGCATCCGAGAAAATGATCCTCAGGCCCTGAGACCAAGAACATCCAGAATGGATCAGCAAACAAATAAATGCACAGGTAATGACAATTAACACCACTATGGAAGTCAGCATGATTCTATGATCTAGACACAATCAGGGTCATGACAATTTATAAGTGACTCCTGATACCCAAGTAGCATAGTGTGATGAACCTAAAAGCTGCTTAAGATTATGCATTTGTCTCTTTATCCTATTTCCGTTGCATTGTGGTTAATGTTGGACGGCTAGGAACAAAACTATGAACAGATGCTCAAGTTCCCTTGGTCTGATTCTGGAATCAGAAGTGGAGGTAACAAGGATAGAATGAGATTCTATAAATGTTCCTGGGGCCAAAATTCATCCCTCATAAATCTACTGGATGCAATGGGGGTAGGCAATTTATCTATTATGGTGAGACAGATTACCCATGTTAAGTAAGGTGACCCTCATAGGATGTGAGACTTTGCTTTAAGTTCATCTTCTGTTTCTGTCCTCATTCCCACATCCTCTGGTAGCAATGGAACCTTCAGTGAAGTGCTCAGGGCTGGGCCTCAGCTGGGTTTTGAGGGTTGCTGTGGACACCTCCTCTTGGCTCACTCCTTCCTACCTACCTGTAAGACCTGGCCACCAGCGTGGGCTAGGCGGGGACAGAGAGCTGTGGCCGCACCTGTTAGTATTGGTTTGGTTTTGGCTCAGAACATCCCCACTCTCTATGTATCTCTTCTTATCAGAGGCACAGATATTTTAAAATTATGACCACAAGATCATACAGTGACATCTGCTAGAGGAAATGTGTTCTCCTAAAACAACTGATAAAGTAATTGTTGTAAATAGTATATTGGCAGGGGCCAGGGGAAGGAAGAGGAAGGAACAAAATAATACGTCTGGTGACTTGTTACTTCTGAAAACATAGATGTCTCCGGCGACTTTGATATCATTTTCTCTAAGTGATTTATCCTTGAAACGTTTATTGCCTCAAATTTTGCTTGTTAAGAATAAGCTGTCATTAAAAATACATGCATATTATATCTGCTGCATAAATCTGACTGCCAGTTCCTTACCCCACCTGCTGATCTCTGCACAGGAGCACTATGGTTCTATCTGAATGGTTTTCTGCTTTTTAAGTTTTGTAGGCATATTTTGTTCCAATCCCCAAACAAAAAGCTTTAGTTTCTTTTGGAGTGGTTCAATGTCTCCTACAATTTGTGTAACAGAAGGAAGCTATCTTGCTTACTGGAAATCAATCACTCTACACTACTGACTTTGCAAACAGGATGATATTATCCAGGATTCTTTTATTGGGCAAACACTTTAGAGTGGGCTTTATGGATTAGGTACTGGGCTAAGTCCTGGGTATGTAAAGATAGAGACAGTATTTGCCCTCCATAAGCCTAGAGTAGTTTATTACAACAAACAAACAGTTTCCTAACCACCTTATGCTACTGGTGAGGTTAATAGTTACAGAATCCCAAGTGGAGAAAATGAACCAATTACCTACTATCCAGAACCAAATTACACTCAAACTGACAATAAAGCCCCAAAGGTTCCACAGTTGTGTTCACAGCCATGTTTTTACAAACTCTTTTGAAGGTGTTATTTATGTGTAAACCTACACTTCCATTGTCACTAAATATGGGACATGTGAGTACGTAACTCACTACTGAGAACTATAGATTATCCAAAAACTGATTAAAGCCATATCAAAGGCTGAGGTCTTAATCCACCTTCTGTTGCAGATTTCAAATCACGTGGGGTCACCTCTTCTGATGATCTCCCAGACTCCACCCTTTACATAGTTCCCATTCCACAATTAGTCTCCCGGATTAGTTCATGGCCAGTGGGAGGTATTTAAGAATTCATGTCATTACAAACGATCAACATGTGTTATCTGCTCGTTTCTAAGCCTCTTTACGATGAATCTTATTTTTTTCTCCTCAAGGTAGCTATAACATCTTTGGCTGTACTACATGTCACACTCATAGAAGATTGTTGGAATCTACATCTGGTAACCTGGAATACATTTTGCTCTTGAAAGATGATAAAGATATGTATAACACACATCAGCCTACTGGAAATAGTCCAACATCTTCCCTCTTTGCTCGGAAACCAACCATAAGATCTTGACTAAGAATCTGCGTTGCTTTGTGAGTCCATTCCAGGTGAGGAGCAGCCCAATTCTCCCTCTCCACGTGGAATGAAAGGTTTTTTAGACCCAGCCCAGCCTAGTTCTGTTCTGCAACAATCCCAGTTTTCAGGCTTGAGTGCCCCTTTGATGTGTGAATAATTGTATTGGATTGCTTTGGTATCTGCATGTTCCTTAAATGAACTTAATGAATTTGCAACCCAAACATGAGCCGTGTACTTCCTATCATGTATCATCATCAACTTCAATTAAACAATAAGGCCAAAGTTACCACTGACCAAGACTTGCCAAGAGTCTAATTGTTCCTGAATTTCAACAAAAGAACACCAGTAATATATTTTGCTTTTATTATTTGGTCTATACCGAGGGTTGGCAATACACAACCTATTGGTGAAATCTGACCTGCAATCTGTTTATAAGTCAAGTTTTATTGGGACACAGCCATGCCCATTCACTTATGTATTGTCCATGGCTGCTGAGATTAGTAGTTGTGACAGAGACCATCTCGCCCACAAGGCCTAAAATATTTACTATCTAGCCCTTTACAGAAAATGTTTGCTGACCCCTGACATAAACCATTACTTTATTACAACATAAAGTACTTACTTTTCAGCCCTACACTAGAAAATAGAAAATATAACCATCTGCCTTATCAAAATCTCAGAGAGAAATTGTGTTTATGAAGACTGTGGTAAGGGTGCCTAGTCCCTTCATTGCCTGGGTATTCCAGCTTCTAGCTATAGATTTATCTCGACTAGATTTGGCCCCAGTCTGCTTACTTCTGACCACCTACTCCTGACAGAAATGGATTAAATTGCATTTTAGTTTTATATTCTTTTATTGCAGGGTGCTACAAGGCACTGTCTGACAAAATCTATTTTTGTAGTCTCCATAGGTATGTTAGAGACTGTATAAAGCTCCACCTGAGACATTTCCTCAACAGCCAAGTGTTAGGAAAGTCCTAACTGTTCCCTGAGGAACTGGTTTTCTTTTTCTTTCTGACAATGAGAACTTTGTAACCAACCATGTTTCCCTTTTCAACGTGGCTGCCAGGATACTTAATGCCAAATTTGAGGTTCAGCCCAAGTGGATCCTTATGACTTGCATAACTATGAATTTTTCTTCTTCTGTTCTTGACTCTCTACTCTTATTTATATATTCCCCTGATTTCTGTTTCTTATTTATATCCTAACAACTTCATTATGTGTGTGTTTGCTGCCACAATCCTCTTGAAGAAACAAAGCCCAGTGAAAACAAAGGAAACAAGTGTCCATCACAGCCTGAACCCTACAATTATGGAACTGTTGAGTTATGTTGTTGGGTCCTTCATTAGCTGACAAGTGCGGAAAGGCAGAGTCTCATATACCTTGTTTACCATCATTTTATCCACACAGCCTAGCACAATGCCTGAAGGAAACAAGTGTCCATCACAGCCTGAACCCTACAATTATGGAACTGTTGAGTTATGTCGTTGGGTCCTTCATTAGCTGACAAGTGCGGGAAGGCAGAGTCTCATATACCTTGTTTACCATCATTTTATCCACACAGCCTAGCACAATGCCTGACCCTCCATAAACACGTGTTGAAAAGTTACTGCATGTTCCACGACTGGAGCGAGCTCCCCTGGAGACCCTACCAAGGCAGTCTCCAGAGGGCTCCTTCTGCATTTAGCGAGGACTCACAGGCCAAATGAAAACACACTAGCATTCTTCATGGTGAACTGGGGCTAATGTATCCACCTTGAAGGGTAATTGTGGAAGGTAAAATAATAGAAATTGTCCAGCACATCATAATTACGGGATTTGCTCCACTACATCCACTCATCCTTCTATCTCAAAATGTCCTAAGACAAGGGTCAGTTTTGGCTAAAAAC